GAAAACCTGGCTCTAACTATTGATTTTGATTAACGTGTAAATGTGCACACGTACGTTTCCACAGTTACTAACAGCAGTAGGTAGAGCATATATGCATATACAAGCACACATACGCACACCAAATGCAAAGCGTGTGTAGTTAGCGACCTCCATGTGGTAAGACTGCCTTTACCTTAGGACTCCAACCACCTTGACTGCACTTCATCCACCAGTTCTACTCAACTCAACCCCCAGATCTGGGAACTAGCTGCCAAATAACAACCCACCTTCAGCGCCAAAACCCTTCCTTGGTCCTGCATGAGCTTGGGGGTTGGCCTTCAGCACAGATCAGACCCTCTCAAGTTGTCTCCTGTGAGGGGTTTTACTCCGTGGACCTTGTAATTCAAGAGGACCAGCAAAGTGTTTTCAGCTACTTCAGTTGTCAGAAACAAACAAAAAACCCAAAACACCGATCGGTTCTTGAAAATGGGGCATACATAAAAGAGCTGATGGTGCATTCACTGCCAGCAAGCAACACGGTCATCCCAAACGCATGCCGTTAGACCTCTGTAAGCATTCCCCCCCCACCCCACCCCTGTCACGTTTTGTACATAACACACAGGTAAAAATTACTAGCTCTGAAGCACTGCAAAATAGTCAATCCTTAGTACTGGAAGCTATACACACATCCAGAAAGTTCATGGCCAAGAGAAAGCTGAAGCTCTGCCTGTCAACAGAACTGACCGCTACCGCTTGAGTATGCCACCCAGATTTGGGAGACAGGCGGACATATAGAGATGGAGAGGCTAAAACCGCTGAAATGCACAAAGACATTTTTATTTCATCTGCCCACGAGCAAAAGTCCCCCTGAACATTCAGGGAACAACAGTAAACGATGGGAGTTAATTCACCCACGTATTGCTGTCACCTGAAATGAAACACAGGGGCCAAGATGACCAGAAGCATGCCTACTGATTTGGGGCTTAAGATGTCTCTAAAAAATACCCAAACCGATCCTCCTCTCAAAACATGAACTATTCCTCGCTCTTGAAAATCTTGGCCAAAACCCTTCAAGCCTCCCTTTAAAATGTGAGATGGACTCAAGGTAAGCTGTCATGAGATAAAATCACCCAGTATTTACTTTAAAAACTGGCCCATGCTAAACAACAGAACAAAACCTAGAATACCGTCATCAACAAATCTACCTAGCTACAGCTCTGGATGTTTTGCTCTATTACCTCTATATTTTTTCAAACAGGAGATTATTCTCTAATAAAACCATTCAAAGCAACCTTCTTTGTCTAGCTTAGAATTTAAGAAGTCAAAACTCATTGCAGAACCTTTTAATTCGGGGTAGTTTAGTGTTTTTCTACCTTGAAAAGAACTGTAATCTGGAGAGGATTTTTTTTTTCTGCCTTGCGGCAAACACAAGAACATCCAAAAACCGGTTTTCTACGCAATAATTTTTTCCCACAAATCACCAAGAATAGAAAGAGATGTTGAACCAAGGATCCAGACCAATAGCCAGAGATCCCATGTACGTATCGCTGTAGCAGCCACCGGAGAGGAAACAAAGACGCTCGACGATGAGGTGGGAATGGGCAAGTTGTCTCCTATCCAGCCGAGCTGCCCCAGGTTTGGTCCCCAACACTGTCCTCCTCTACCTTGAGTCCCTCCAGCCACAACGACCATTTGTTCCCTGTTAAGGTGCAAACGCGGCTCCCCGAGACGTTTGGAAGGGGCCCCTTCGGGACCCCCTTGCAAAATCTGTGCTTGTCTCCACTATTACTACTTTATACTAGAAACTACAAATTACTTCATTTTTTCCCCCCGATCTCCATACAAATATAAAAGATGAAGCTACCCAAACCCCATATAATCTAGCTATACTACATTACAGTGCCGGAGATCATTTCTAAGCCCGTATCCGCGTTCCCACCTCTATTCCCCTCCCTGTGTCACTCAACTCCCTCTGGCCAGGGGAAATCTCCAAGTGCAGCTAAAGCTTCCCCCCACCCCAACAGACATAATTTAAGGAATCAGGGAAAAAGACAGCAAATTAAACAATACGAATTTTTACACAGTTGTTATACGCTATGCCCAAATGTTTAAAAAAAAATCCCCTCTGCCTTCCAGGGCCTCACCTGGCTTTCTGAGCAGCACCTAGCTCTCAGAATATACCAAAGTTCTCCAAAAATGGCCGTTCTTCTGCCCCCTTTTAGCAACGAAATCGGAAATCTGGTAATGGGAGCCCTTGGACAAATCTCTGCACTGGCAGGACCCTGAATTTTCCCAAGGTTGGATCTTATTTCTTCATAAATGGTGAGGAGAAGTAAACCCTCCTCAACAAGGTTCAGATGCTGGATATGACACATCCGACTTATCTCCATCGTTCAACAGCAATTTGCTTAAAATAAATAGAAGGAAAGTGCTGATGTTAATAGCAATAGCTGACTCGCGTCTAGTGTTTTAGTTGTTGTGGATAAAGTGCAGAGGAAGGGGGATTTAAAGGTTTCTAGGATGATGAAAAGGGTTAAATAGAGGACGCAAAAAACCCCACAGCCGTGGACTCCATTTTCGGAGAAAACGGCTTCAGCTAACATGTTTCTGCTGGGATTTCTTATTGACTGGATCTCAATTTGCTTTTAATTTGCTCATAACATGCTCAAAGGGCGTAAACAGCCTGGCAAGCGGGCTCCATAAAAGCAACGAGAGGGGCTAAACGCGAGACAAAGAACAGAAAACGGACGGGTTAACAGAGTGAAAGCAAGGGGAACGATTCCTGCAGGTTCTCCAAGCGTCAGTATATATCGCCTGTTTCTGCACCTGGACGGCTTCAAGAACACCCTTTGCAAAGTGCAAACGCATCCCCTGAAAAGCACGCAGAGCACGGAGACCTCGGCTCACAAAGCCAAGTCCTGCCGAGCTCCGGGCACGGAGAACTTCCTCCATGCTCGCTCTTAGCTGCAGTGGGAAGGGGTTTCCTCTCCTCTCCTTCACCATGCAAGGAGAGGATGGAGTCTACGTTGGCCTGACTTCCTTGTCCCACACAACTTCTCAGAGCCATCCAGCCAAAACCATTTGAACGGGGGATGCTGTACCCAACACCCGCTGAGGCACGGACCCTGGGGGTCTGTTCTCCCGCAGCTGGAGCATCACCTGCTCTAGTGCCAGAGAAGGTCTCTCCTGACCTGGAGAGACGGCGCTGGGCGATCTCCCGTCTTTGGAAGGGACCGCTGCTGCATGCACGACCGGGTATCCTCCCTGCAGACCCCCAGAGGTTCGGGGGAAGTCATCACAGAGTCTACGCCACTGCAACACAGGTACTGCCAACGCTTACGCCTCCAAGGGAAAGAAAACGACGTTTGGGTTAAAAGTGACTGTGTTACTGCTTAATTAAAGCATGAGGTTATTAGTTGGCCAGCCCGGATATATCATTTTTCGTATAATACAGTGGAATTTCCTCTCCTAAAAATATTCTGTGTTTTTTCAGTGATCGCCTTCAGAACATTTTTATGAAAGGAGCGTGTAATCCTTCTACCTGAAATCTGCATGACAGCCTGCTTGCCCTTGTTTCTCAAACATCACTCTCAGCTTTGTAAGAGGAAGGTGGCCCAAAGAAAGCATTAAATTACGTACAGAAAATATTTTCAATTAGGAAAAAAAACCAGCTCGGAAACGGAACACGCATTGAGAACTTAACGGCGGCAAATCTGCCTACCACGTATTTGAAACATT